CATTATAGATGGAACTAGAGTAATTTGTAGGCGGACAATTGCAAACAAATTCAATAGTTACTTTACATCTTTAGCTAGTAATTTAAATGAGAAGGTTTTGTCCGAGAACCAACTGTCTATCCAACCAATGCAATCATTTGTTGAGTTTATGTCGAAATCAGTCAACAGTTCAATACATCTAGAAGAAACTCATCCTGAGGAGATTCTTGAAATAATTCAAGAATTCGTTAACGGAAAAGCCAGTGATATACCAATAGCAGTTATCAAGAAACCGGCTCATCTCTTATCCAACATATTAGCAAATTTGTATAATACATGTATTCAAAAAGGCACGTTCCCATCCATATTCAAAATAGGCAAAGTAACTCCTATCCATAAAAAAGATAATAAAGAAAATATTGAAAATTATAGACCTGTGTCAATATTGCCAATCTTTGGTAAAATATTTGAAAAAATAATATACAAACGGCTTTATACCTTTTTCACTGCTAATGACATTCTCAGTAATGAACAATTTGGTTTTCGAAAAGGCCACTCAACCTCACATGCACTCCACAAATCAGTTCATTCAATCACAACATCAACATCCAGTGGTAATCATGTTCTAGGAATCTTTATTGACCTAAGCAAAGCTTTTGATACTCTTGACCATGGCATTCTCCTGAGGAAACTGGAAAATTATGGGGTTAGAGGTCTAGCTCTAGGACTTCTAAAAAGCTATTTATCCGATAGATCACAGTATGTTTCATTTCTCAACACTACATCAGAGACTATGAATGTAAAATATGGAGTTCCCCAAGGTTCCATACTAGGCCCTCTACTTTTCTTATTATATATGAACGACATAATAAACTGTTACAAAGGCGATGAATGCAAATTTGTGCAAATACCACTGTATATCTGAGATATTTCGAATTATGAAATTTCGCACTCCATACTCGTTGTATTGTACTATAGACTCATCAAAACGTGATACAAGCAATGTCATAATCCTCCCAAGAAAAACCAACACTTTTCTTTATATAGCCTCCAAATTGTGGAATAGCATACATAAACGGATTCTAAATGAGAATGGGGAAATCCTCACTACTTCTGTAGCTTTGGTTAAATTACGCTGTAAAAGTATCATCCTGGGATCTCAATCCATCAACAATAATAACACCTGGACTTACCACAACTTTCACATCGCCCCTCACTCAATCACAGACCAAACCATTTCATCACTCACTCACCAAATTGCCGACCCAATATCTATTGAAGTGGCGAAAATTTTCTAGACAAATGATATTTCGATATTATTGCTGCAGCAGATACAAATACCAACATTATTATATTCCCAAACGTTTGAACCTTTAAATTAACTAGGAAAGTCAATCCTCAACTTGACTTTTACTGTTTTAAACAGATATGATGATATTAACTTAATTTATTATTATTATTATTTATATTTTTTTTACATACTCCTTCTTAGTGTGGTGACTTGGGGTCCATAAATATAACAATACAAGCTGATAAACCAAAAAGAACAACTGGGGTAGGTAGGTAGCCCTGGTGGGTGCGTAAACTTTACGGTCTGCTCTCTCCAAGATCAGCCTGCTTCTCCATTTTACCGTGAAGCCTAATTTCTAGTTTTTATAAAATATACAATGCAAGTGCAGGTTTACTAATCTTAATCTACTTAACAACTCAATAGCCCAAGTCACCATACCCGTAGTATATTCCATGGTAATAGAAGAGCTTTAAAGTTTTTCAAATTGTTGCTATAATTGATTTAAATAAAAATTTGTTGTTTTCTTGAAAAAATTTGTTGTTTTCTTGTGTTGCCAAAAGATACAGCCCGACCACCTGAAAACATACATAGCAGGTCGCCTCATCCCCCTTGATAAAGACCCAGGGGTTAGACCCATTGGGATTGGTGAAGTCCTTAGAAGAATAGTTGGAAAAGCAGTGATGACCACATTGAAACAGGACATTATCATGAACACAGCACCCATGCAACTGTGTGGTGGCTTACAAGGAGGAGTGGAAGCGGCCATTCATGCAGTCAGACAGATCTTTGAAGAAGAATCCACAGAAGCGATCCTGCTTGTTGATGCTGAAAACGCCTTCAATGCATTAAATCGCAACACAGCCCTTAGGAATCCTCGATACACCTGTCCAGAGCTGTTCACTTACATCCTAAATACATACAGACAAGAAGGTAACCTATTCATTGCCAACAGTGATGACCTCTTACAATCTCAGGAAGGAACAACACAGGGAGATACCTGTGCACTCGGATGGTATGCACTGAGCCTAATGCCTCTGCTCAGAGAAGTCCAGGTTAAACAGTCTGAACTTGAAACAGAACTAGAATCAGACAGGGAACCCAACACTTATCCCAAACAAGTTTGGTATGCTGACGACTCTGCAGCAGGGGGTAAACTTGATCAACTCACGAAATGGTGGGAGGACCTTAAAGATCATGGTCCCATGTATGGGTATTACCCTAAACCCAGCAAGACATGGTTGATAGTGAAACCAGAGCATGCAACCAAAGCTAAGGAACTCTTTCCAGATGTTCAGATCACTACCAAAGGCCACCGTTATCTTGGGTCATATATCGGATCAGATGAAGGGCTAAAAGAGTTCATACTTAAGGAGACCGAAAGTTGGAAAGCAGACATTCTTGGACTCGTCGAAATAGCTGCAAACGAACCCCAGCTAGCCTACTCCGCTTTCATCTATGGAACCTCCAAAAGATGGAACTTTGTTTGCCGTACAACCCCAGGGATTTCCGACCATCTGAAACTCTTGGAATATTGTGTCAAGGAAGACTTTATACCAGCCATTATGGGCAAAAGTTTTGTGCCTGATCAAATCAGAAAAATAGCTTCACTTCCCGCAAGAATGGGCGGGCTGAGTGTTCCAGACTGTACATCAACAGCAGAGATGGAGTACACTAACTCAGTAAATGCTACAAAACAGCTCACAGAAGCAGTTTTTCAACAGCTTACTACTTTCCAACTAAACGAAGAACTGCAGCATGACATCATAAATGAAGTAAAGAAGCGTAAGGAAGAGCTTTACAAACACCAACGTGAAACTATTATGAATGAGGTATCCCCATCAACACAAAGGCAATTAGAACTCCTTAGTGAAAAAGGAGCATCCATTTGGTTATCTACACTCCCTCTAAAAGCATGTGGGTACGTCCTTAACAAACAGGAATTCTTTGATTCCCTCTCACTCAGATATAACCTTACACTGTCTACAGCTAACAGAAGTCCCCTATGTGTATGTGGAAAACAAAATCATATCAACCATACTCTAACCTGCAAAATCGGAGGCTACGTTTCACTTAGACACAATTCACTAAGAGACACAATAGCTGAACTCCTAACCACTGTTTGCAAAGACGTTGAAACAGAACCCCAGCTTCTCTCCGTTCCTCACACACTTGAACTATCTAATGGAACAAATAGACAGGATGGTGCAAGACTGGACATCAGTGCGAGATCGTTTTGGTCGCCGCTGGACAGGGCATTCACAGATGTAAGGGTACTTCACCCTCAAGCCCAGTCCAACAGTGACAAGAGCATCTCACAGATGTACCAATCTCACGAGAAAAACAAAAAACGTGAGTACAATGACAGAGTCCTAAATGTTGAAAAGGCTTCCTTCACGCCACTGGTGTTCAGTACTACAGGAGGAATGGCAACCGAGGCTTCACAGTTCCTAAAACATCTCGCTGAAAAGATCAGCCTAAAGAAAGGCCAAAGGTATTGTGATGTGATGTCATTTGTCAGACGCAGACTGCGTTTTGATCTACTCAGAACCTGTATAATCTCTATCAGGGGGTACAGAGGTACCAGAACCCTTCCACCCACGGCAATAAGTGATTTGGACCTTAACCTGATCAACACTCTTAAACCCTAAAAGGTCATGGAGTGCTTGTTGGATGGTGGTCTAAACTGCTTTTTGTTGTGATGTGATTTAGTGGATTTTACATATATTATTACAAAGGGTTTTATTTTACCTCAGTTTTTAAATTTGTACCATTTTTACAGAATTTTTATAATTATAATTATTTTTATATAGGGTCATTGCTATATTATGTGTATAATTTAGTATTTGAACACATTCATCACACAGCAAAAAATTTTAGGATAATCAGGTCTAAAATTGTAGATTCTTAGCAAGTTCTGAACTTTCTGGAGATGAGGTCTGCTACAGCAATGAACTTTTCATGTGCATCTAATCTAGAGTGTCTTGGACTGGATGACGTATCCTTCAATCTCATTCCTCAGAAGACGAGCTTTGAGGTCTCTTATAAGTTTGTTTATATAAATTTTATAGATAATTTATTGTAGCTTCTATATTGTGTAAAATTTTACGGACGAAATGATCCCAGTGCAGGGGGGACTCCCAACCCACCGCCTCGGCGGGTAGTTGATACACCTTTTACAAGCAAGAGCCACTTTGGTCAACTTGCTGTGAGGTGTCTCAGCTACATGGGTTGGGGGTCCCCCCTTTTTTTTTAAAGGAAAAAAAAAATCTAGAGTGTCTTCGTGTTTGATATTTAAGTGTTCAGTCCCCATTTTACCTCAAATTCTCATTTTGGGTTTCGGATTTTTGGGGTTGGACACCCCCATTTTTGCTCTTGCATTTAGGGGTCGTTCAAATAAATCGAAACTTAGGGGTCATTCCCATATTACGTTATCACCGAGGAAGAGGAAGGGGTTTTCTAAATGATTATGTTAGTGTAATTTTAACAGAGATTTAAAGGAGATAATTTATGGAGATGAGAGGGGGGGGGGGTGGGGGGGGGGCGGGGGGGGGGGGGGGGGGGGGGTAAAAATGGGCCATAAAGTGATACCGTAATAATATGCGAGTGATCCCCTTCAGCCCTTGGATTGAGTATTAAATATTTTCCATAAACTTTTTACTTAACTATTCTCAATTTCCTTTCGATTTAAAAACATCTGATGAAATATTATACAACACTTTCTTATACCCAGGATTAGCTACAATGTTACTGCTGATAAACTGTTAACAGATAACACTGGTAAACTGTTAACCTCCTGTTAACAGCAACGGAACTGGACCACTCATTCTCTGAAGTTCAATCTCAAATTCCTAATTTGTATCGGGTTGTCTAACAAACTTGTGTCTCATTTCAAAAGTTTGAAATCATGATCATTCGCTATCTACCAAATGGCTGTAGGAAAGTTTCTAACCTCCTTCACTTGTCCAGAACATTAAGTGCTACAGCAGCCTCAACAGCAAATGCAGTCAAGGACAATATAATTCTTGAAGAAATGTTTAGCCCAGAAAATCAGGTGGCAAAGTTACAATCCACTCCAATCATCGAAGAACCGAATTCCATCATCGATCAAATACCCTTCATTTATCAGACTCTGCTGGACTCACTACAAGTATCCTCTGGTATACCCTGGTGGGGTGTGTTAGTTGGAGTTGGTGTGGTTGGTCGTCTCCTTACTTTACCCGCACATGTTCAACTGGAGAAGAGCATGATGGCTAAACTTCCTCTCATTAGACTGGAGAAGGAGGCAGTGATTGCGCGACTTTCTGGAGATTTAGTGACATCGATGAAGAAATTCAAGGAATCTGAGGTGTACAGAAAAACTCACGGTATTCCAAGCAGTCTGAGACTAATCACATATTTTGCTCCTGGCGGCATCTTACTCGCTTTGAACTTCAGTTCTGTGTACGGACTGGCAGCTATGAATTACGCTCCTCTTGTAGACTCCTCCTTTTTGTGGATGCACAGTCTGTGTTTGTCTGATCCACACAGGATCCTGTCATTTGTTAATGGCATCATGATTGCAGCTATAGCTAAAAACTTTGTTCTCAGTGTTCCAGATTCTGAAAAATCCGAAATGATCACTTCCCACAAGAAGAAGTGGTATTTGTTGACTTTCGGTGCAATATTCGCACAAGCTGCTCTGCCGGCCAGTGTGCTAGTGTACTGGAGCATGTCTAATCTGACAAGGCTCTTACTGATTGAGAGACTGCTCTGTATGGACTCGTTTCGTACCAGAGTGGGACTTGTTGAACATTCTGAGAAACTCGCAGCATTTGGGGCTATTCCAAAGGTAGATACAGCTGCAAAAGCTATCCAGTTAGCTGGGAGTAATGATGCTGAAATTGTTACTGTCGATGAGGGCTCTATCCTTGAGAATGAGTTAATAAAACTATGGGAAGAGGGTGATTTGGAAGTACTGAAGACTACGATTGATGATCAGAAAAAGCAGCAGAATGAATCCACTGTTTCACTTGAAAAGGACCTTACATACTGCGAGGATGAACTGAAAAACATGTCATTTTCGGAAAAATTTGGAAACCCAATCTCAAGGCAGCTCGCAACTCAGCAAAAAGTACTACAAGACAAAATCAAAGGAGCTGAAAAAAGTAAAAGTAGGTTAGACACAATGGAGCGTAAGCTAGCAATAGCAGAAAGAAAGCAAAAGTTCCACTACCTGCTAACAACAGAAGAAGAAGGAGAGTTAGAGTTACTGAGAAGCGATCTGGTGGAAACCCACAGTAACTTATTAGATGAGTTAGAGGAGTGTGAGACAGAACTGGGAGAGGTTTACACCAAGAAGTTACAGCACTTTGAGAGGTATACTAAGAAGCAACAGCTGCTGAAGTTGCAGATGAACTTGTTGGATGATATTGAGTTTTGTGAGAGGGAGATTCTTGATTTGCCTAATTTGAAGAGTAAAATTAGTAAGATGGAGGGTGAAAGTGAAAGTGAAAGTGATAGTACTGGTAGTAAGTCTGGTAGTTGAAATTGTGCCCATGTTTGATTTGTACCTTGACCCTTACAAAATACAAACTATTTGAGTGCCTTTCTCGGTTTTTGCAGCACCGAACTGTGTTATATTATGCTATTCTATTATCAGCTCAACAAAAGTTTCTGTTTTTTGCTCGATATGAATAAAATTTGAAGTGTTATTGATTAGTATTTAAAAGTTTGAAATTTCTGTGTTTAAAATGTGTAATTCTTCTAACTTACTGCAAATGAGTCCCTAACTAACTACCATTGCATGTCCCGAAGAATTTTGCTGATGAGTAACTTAATATTACAAAAGTTTTTAAAACGAAGATATTGAAATTAATTTATAGGTGATATGATCGCCACGAGCAATGCCCAAAACTTCTAGATAAATCACCTAAAATAAAAAACACCGACGAAAGCTGGCTGAGCTGCTTCACCTTAAATAACTTGACCTAGAAGCGTTAAAAGTGTTGTAACTTACCTCAGCAAACTTGGGTAAGCTTTTTACATTATTTCCTGCCAATTCATAGAACTAAAGAAACCACTGTATAGTAGTAAATTGTTGATTTTCTACATTAAATACATTTTCCTTGTCGCAATTTGGGTTTGATGAGATTTTGTTTTTGTATCAAGATTGTTTAGCCTCAATAGTAATTAGTTTCAAAAGCTTTGCAATGAGGCGAAATTAAGATTCGATGAATTCAACATATCACACCATACTTTTCAGGTATCAGGTATGCACGTGTAACGAAGAGTTCCAGAGTCGTGAGTCGTTCATTTTGAAATTTGTTTGTTAAGAAAGTTATACTATTTTAGTACTCGTTTTTACTTACTACTTCTGGTAAGTCGTAGTCACCAGAATATTGAATTGATCTAAAAAGTACTACTGAATTATTAACCTTCAGTCCTTTGTAAAAACTCAGCCGGTTTGAAGGCGTGAGGGTACCCAAGTTCTTTATTATTCCTTGCTTCTTTTTTAGGGTGATCCCACGCTTTCCTGTTCTTCTTAGTTGAGCATATATACCTTTTGTCAGATGTTCTGCGATTTTAAATCGCCTAGAAGTCTGCTTGTTGACTAAGTTCCTGTTGGGCAAGCATATCATCCCAGGTCTCGAAATGCAACAGTGTACTACCACGTCTGAATTGTACCGCTGCAGTGTCGGATAAATATGGTCGGGTATTCTTAGACACAGCTCCCTCGCCCAGACCTTTTTCGAAGTTATAGAAATCATCTGAGTTCATGTTTTCGACTATGCCAGGTGCCTTACTGATGCACTGAGTATAATCTTGAAAGTCATACACTTTATCAGCATACTTTAATTGTTTTTCCACTTTTGCTCTTTTGCATGAAAATGGTCTGCTGACATATAACTATGACCTTTCTCGAAGTACCTAATTGTGATTGTTTCAAGGTTGGTGAAATCACAGCTGTTTACGATATTAACAAGTGCTGTATAAAGGGTCCAGCACTTGTTTTGCCCACCACATCTGTTCTGTTATACCTTGTAAATTTAAAGGGGTATCTCAGAACTGCGAGGCTGGCACGAAGAGCAGATAGTTCAAAACTATCTGGATCCCCCCACTGAGACCACAAGCACGACGTGTTGCTTGGGTCTTCTAAAATCGTATAAAGTGGTCGCTAATATCCTAGAAGTAGTTGGTAAAATGTCTTTAGTGTGGTAGTAGGAGTTTTTAAGTGAGAGTAAGTCCTACTCTTCAGGGATGGTGATGACTCCTTCAGCTGGAGCATATTGACATCCCACTGCTGCAATCTTTCCTTTTTCCATATCAATAACTGTTGACATGTCTTTAACTAGAAGCTGGCAGGGGATGCTTCTTTCTGTTGCCCACCGGCCACGTTGTTGACGAGAACAGCGAAATCCCTGTACCGCTCGGTGGTTCGCTTATCCAAGTTGGACAGTTCATCGTAAGTTCCCGGACGGAGATGAGGGGAGTCCTCTCTCAAATCCGTGACAGCAGAGTACCATAGTTCCTCCTCCCATAATGGCTATGCCGAGGAGGACGATGGCGATGAGAATCAAGATAGAACTTGGTTCCATTGTTGTAGTAATGTTTTTTTCCTTAACAAAAGAGAGATGTAATAAGTAGCACTGAGCATGCACGGTGCACGTTGTCATGGTTGGGAGCAATTTGCAAGTGCAATTTGTGGTGCCAAGTGCAATTTGTGGTGCCAAATATCCGACAAGATCTCCTTCGCATTTACCTCATAATTCCTATTGAGTCCGACGGTCGGTGGACAGCTGTACACTTCAGCGCGAACATTACGAGGTTGACGGTGCCGCGGATTCTCAGAGATTACCACAGCTATTACTAGTTTTGTGATATAATTTCTAATAGGAGTTGATTCGCGCGCGCGCACGTGAGTATACACCATGCGGAGATATGTATCCATATTTGATATTACAATTTATCTTCTTCGAGAACAAACTTTGAATTAAATTAGTTCACATTACATGGTTTGAAGCAGTGGCGTAACGAAAGGCCCTGCTGACCCCGCTGTGCAGGGGGGCGCCGTCTTAGGGGGGCGCCAAATCGTCGTTTGAATGTGGGACAATTTCGAAAAATTAACTAAAGTACTAGCAAAACTGCGCGTTTTGCTCTAGATACACACTTTTTTAGAGATTTTACCGGCGTATTCTCTAAAATCACCTAATTTGTTCAATTTTAGGGAGGGGCACCAAAAGGGGAGGGGGCGCCAACAGGGGGGCGCTTTTTTTGGCAGGGGGGCGCCAACAGGCAACGTTACGCCACTGGTTTGAAGTAGCTTTAATGCTGAACAGCTCAATGATATAATACGATATAATACTCAGATACAAATCATCTCAGCGAAACTATTTTGAAGTAATGTCTCCACAAGCCGATTTCCAATACTAAATACTAATTACTATAACAAACGAATACAGTGGCTTAGAAAACCTTTCAACATCTCTGTCTTTCCTCTATGTATTTAGAAAATCTAAATTATTCTTAAATCTTTACATAACAGACTTTATTGGGACTACTTTTCTTCGTTGGCTAGTTTACAGCTCGAATATTATTTCCATACCAGTTGTCTGAGTTGTAAGGTATATAAAAAGTATAAATACATCGGTATCTGGAGATAATATACGAAATGTCGGAAGGTTCACATCCTCAGCTCTTGAATGTGAGCTAAGCTGCCTGATAATACACAGCAAAAGTATATCGGCTTCGTGCTGGCTATGTGATTCAATGTCCCACTCTTGAATATTTGATATTATCTCAGTACCTTGCACAACGATATACAACTTTTGCAAGGAACCTAATTCAGATATGACCATCCTCGAGAAAAACTGACACAATCTTAAACAAGCTGATTTCCAATACTAAATACTAATCACTACAAACAAATACAATGGTTTAGAAAATCATACGCCATCTCTGACTTTTCTCTATGCATTTAGAAAATCTAAATTATTAATTAATCTTAAATCCTTACATGATATTAGAACAGTGACAAAGGGTCCGAAGAATATGCGCTGATATTTTGTATCATCCTCTCTTTGTGATCCGATAGGCCCGGTTAGAAAGATCTCGCTTTAAGATTCCTTGAAGTGATGATCTGCTAAAGTCTAAGTCAGGAGCTCGTTCTCAGGTGCCAATTTTTGAGTGTGGGTAGTTACTTGTGGGCCACCCTGGACCCTGAATTACCCTTTCTATTTTCTCAAAATATTGATTATCGTCTTGGGCTTGAGAGATATGATCCCCTTGTAACTTTCACCTCAGTCACTGTCGATATTACGGATGGATGGAAAATTCCGGCCGAATCAATGGAGTTGCCTTTATCTCCCCTACCAGAATGAATGAGTAAACTACCATTGTCCAAAAGAGTACTTCCAGATCCTCGCATATGCCAAAGACAAAATATCAAGACTGTAATGATCAATGTTCTGACTGAGTTGATAAAGCTGTGAAAATGAGCTGACTAAAGATTATACATTCCATGTTCCAAAGTATATTGATTGTTTGCTGTAGTTGATCTTGGGCGAATTGTGTGTCCAATTCTTTTATTAGATATTCTACTCTTTTTTCATCAGCGAGTTTAGTTTCATCTTACATTATAGGGGGGGGGGGGGGCATTATAGCAATCCGTTCCGGCTCACCATTCATATAATATGGGTAACAGTTCTGCAAAATAGGAGCTTGTTACAGGTGTAATGGTACGTTTCCTGCTGGTTTCTTATTCTGGTGAGAACTGGTCCCGGTCGTTTTGCGAGCATCTAGGCAGGCGTGCGTGCCGTGTCCATTGTCGCCCCCCCCCAATTCTGCTCCAAATACTCTAACTCCACCCTTAAATGTTTTTAAAATCAGCTTGAATGTCATTGTTAAGACATAAAACTATAAATTAATGAGTACCTCTTTCTCTTTCGTCTCAACAGACTGTCTCAACAGTTTCTCCTTCATTTTAACACTATACATTAGTAAAAGCAACTCTTAAATCGCGAATTAAGCACCCTGCTCGTCGCAGTTTCTTTCTGCATGCCTCTAACTCCTTTATTACGTCATCGGTATACGCAGCTGATAGGGCCGGCGGATTTATCACCCTACCAAACCGTGAAACTGCGACATTTCTCATATCCTGAAGGATAAATAGACAATTTTTCTTGGCAAAACACAGTTAACACCCTCTTTTTTTTTCTTACAAATCTGTTAGATCCTAGTTTAGTAAGGACAAATACTGTTGGTAGAATTAGGATTATCACAATTTGAAACACTATCATACATAGTCCATATATTTAAATGATTCGATATGGTACATTTTTTTTGGCACTATCCGTCGTGGAGTGGACTCCGCGGCGGAGCCGCTGGACTCCGAGCGGACTCCGGCGGAGCTCCGCCAAAATGTATTCCGTTTGGACTCGAAACTATTCTGGCGTAACTGCTTTCTTGGATATAAACATAATAATCACTAAAAGGCGATGCTGTTAAATACGTAGCGTTTCAAGCAAACGTATGCATACGCAAACGTATTTGTCGCCGAAAATTCGCGTATTTCGATTCCACTGTGGAGAACGATTTTTTACAATAAATATTTTACAATAATATTCACAATTCTTCCATCCGTCACAAATCAGCGTGCACGGTCCGCGGTCTAAAGTAGCATTAGCGACCATAGTCGCTACTTCATGATACTTCTGATCAGTGAGAGTGGTGGCTAGAGT